CACATCCGTCCCATGAAAAAAGGTTCTTTATGAGAGGTTGTTCCTTTATAGAGGGTTCTTTTATGGAGGTTCGACTGCAGACCCAATGGAAAAAGATCAGTTCATGTTTAAATACAGCAAAGACTATCTTGAAGCATCCTTGACTGATACCAGAAAGCATATCCAAGTGCATGGTAAGCAAGTAAGTTTATTAGGCAGGATAGTTATCAATGTTATCAATGTATCAGTTGGGCAGAGCTAAATCATTATTATAGCAGATCTAGGTTATACATAAACTAGTTTCAAAGATAAACTGGAGGAGACTAGGGTTTAATATATAATAGAGGGAAATAGTTTGAATGCTGTTTAATGCTTGCGAGTTAATTAAAGATATGTCATGGTTACAGATTTAAAACAGTTGATTTGTTCAATCAAACAGTCTTTGATGTAAAATGAACAAACGCATCAACCGCCCTTCTAATAAATTTATTCATGTGAATTATTTTTATCATTGTACCTATTGTTTTTAATACGATAATGGTTTGCTGTTATAGTAAGAAGTAAATATGTCCTGAAAGCAGCTACAAATATTACTGATAAAAATAGGATTTATTATAAACCCAATCTGCATGTAAAATGGCCATGTTAAGATCACCATTGCCAAAAATTTGAAAGATAAAAACCTCAAAGCAGCCAAAGAATACAAAAAAAAGATGACAAGTAAAACAAACAAATTTGATGCTAAGTCTCTTCTATTATGATCTGGACTTATAATGTTAATTCTATGTAGTCTGTTCTACATATTATTTAAAAATAGAAACGCATGCTAGGCCCAAAATAAGGAAGGGCTGCCTCCTGCTCAAGGGGCGGGCTAGCGCCGGGGTCCGGCCCCAAAAAGCAAAGATAATACCTTGTTTCTCAACCAATGGTGCTTTACATTTCTTTTAGTTGTCATTTTTTTATTATAAGTTTGCATTAATGTTTGTTTATTGCTTTGTATTTTCGTTCTTCTTGATAAATTTCTTTTTATTCAGATATTTCTGGAGAGTTTAGGCATCATTAATTCTAAAAACATAAGGTTCAATTCCTTCTCCTTGTTCTTTTTTTAAAATACTTCTAACAGTGCTGGTTCCATAGTAGATTTGATGTAAACCAATTTTATATTTATATAATTTTATAAGTTTGCATCACTATTTTATGTTAAAGACTTTTTGGTTACATTGGCTAATTTTTTACAGCCACACCAGCCACTTTGTGTTCAGGTGGTGATATGTTCCCTTTGTCTGGTTTTGTTGCAGTCTGCACCATATCCATATACCCTTGCTGCAACAATATGACTAGGTAATAACTGATTATGATGTGGCTTTTCTAGTACTAGTAACAATTTAGAGTAGTAAATACGTGGTATAAAACCATTCTAGTCCTAGCTATTTGATTAATCAGCAAGGTATCAGTAGTTTATAGGACACATTCAAAAGAAAGAAGACGTCCACTTACTGAACAGTATCAATTTTGCAGATTAACTACAGTATAATATTTGACCAGTATTTCTCTACAGCTTTTATTCTTCAAGTATACTTATGCCAGTTTGCCAATGAGTTCAATCTATGGTAATCTTTTTTCAGTACAAAAGAAGAGCTGAAACTTTGTGATAGTCAGGAATAAGACGGCATATTATATCTTTTTTACAATAGCTGTATGATGTTTAGTAGCATCATCACCTACATTTGTGAAGACCCCAAAATTTTTATAAAGGGCATCCCGTGATATATATATATACTTGATGTAATGTATAACTAGGTAACAATTGACTTGCTTTTTCAAGCGATGGGAAATTCATAAAACACATTTGACCCAGTTCAGTGTTCTTCTCCAACAAAGTGCAAACATCTTTTTCCCTATTGCAACCAACCAAGGCTTTCTCTTCCCAGATTCCGTGTACAGAGTCTATGATATGTACCCCTCCTTGTAAAAAAGGAAACATTCTTACTACCACATCTTGAATTGGTATCCTCGATCGTGATTTCACGAGTGTGATTTTGTGTTATCATAACAACAAATACTGGTCTCATTAAATCTCGGCGTTGTGAGTTCTTTGTTTCACTCTGATAACGCAACCCATTATTGTAGATGGTGCAATAACCTGTTATGGAACTCTAATCAAATAATCAGTAAACAGTGCTAATATCGCAAATATTTAATTGACAGTCAAAAAATGGGTTGGACCATTTTTTAATAATGGGCCATCAACCACTGTTGTGCAGGTGTATTATGTTCATTATTAACAAAACGTATTATTCGGCGTAAACAATTATGCATGCGAAAATTAAATGTGTTATTCATCAGTCATTTTGTTGTCTCAAGTTGTTTCCCTTTCTGATTGTGTAGCCACAACGCAACAAATAAACATCGATTACGCAATAGTATTCATGCCTGACTAAGAACTAGGTCTGCTACTTTACAAATCCAGCCTTAGGTATATAGCTCCCATTGTTAAATTGCGAATCGTGTGACGCAATCGAGTCACACACACCAAAACAAGTTTTCTAAAGAAAATTTCGTTATCATAAATAAAATCTTTCTTTGGGGTTAGCGAACAATTAGACAGACCCCATGATTCATAAATCTGTTCATCAACAATGAGGCCAGAATCCTTATTAAGTAATTGTTATACAGATAGTATTGCATGCGTCATAAAGCAAAATTTCAAAACAATTGTTCGTAACCAGAATGTTGTCCTCTTAGAATTTCTAGATAACACCGCTAGCATCAATGGAGCTCGAAAACTATTGGGTTAGCCAGCCGTTAACAATAAAACGTCGTCGATTTGCAATCAGAAAGTTAATATGCATATTAACGTTTAACACATACCTTATTCATACAAATAGGAGCAAATTGAGTCATCACATCAGAACGATGAACATCACCAAAATCGTAGTAGTCTACGTTATCGATCAGTAAAGAACCACAACATAAATAATTCGATTATTTGTAGACCCATTAAAATATTTGATTAGTAAGCATAGTGTGATATTAACAATATAAGTATTAAAGACTCATTTACTTGGTTTCATCTACGCACTAGTATGAACGTCATCCCGTCATGGGCGCTATCAAACAATATCTTTATTAAAGAATAGAACAATTGAACGCATAGACCAGCGTGGGACAAGCGTTTGCGACACCTGTATACCAAAACTATGGTAAAAAACGTCATGACATATTAGACAGAAAGGTTCAAGTCTAACTAAAAGGATAAACAGCCCATCGTATGATTCCTTGCTCACTAATCGAGCATCTTTTCATCAGCCCAACATTACAAACAACAATGCATGATGACATAAAACCTTGTGGCGGAACGTTCATTCCTTTGTCATGCCTTTGTCTTTTTCCACGTTTTCTGGACCGTCGGGATGACGGGACAGGATCGAGACAAATTCTAAACTTGAAGTATTGGCAATCAATCATATTTGACAAAGAAGCAGAGGAATTTTTTTTTATTTACAGAGGAAGACACTGTCATTGTCAATATATCAACAACTGACAACACACATATGAAATACTAAATTCATACCGTTATCTTAATTTTGCTTGTAGGTAAAAATTACCGACAGGATTCAATGGCAGATAAAAAAAAGAAGATAATAATAATAAAAATAATGAAAAACGAACAACAAAGAAAAAAAGTATCTGCGTTGTCGTTTGTAATGTATATTTTAAGTCTCCTATAATTTTGTTACTCCGAAACCCACGTTAATAGTTAATTCACAAGGCATAAAAAAGGCAGCAAGTTTCAAATAAAGCAGGTCAAATAATTCACAAAGAAAAAAAAAAGAGAGGAGGTTTGAGGAAATATATTACATAGAAAAGGAAAAAAAGTTTAACGTTGCTGGAAGTTTGCTACTCCATTGGAATAGCTTTTCAGTTCATAAAGTCTTTTGTGAATTAACTTTCTTTTTTGTTGTAGGAATTGAAGGAGTATATGAGGGGAACACAATAAATTTACAAGAATAAAAAAAGGGGGAGTTATATCTAACTAGAATTTTTTGAAATCTAATTTCACCATCGAATCCCAATTCATATAGGATAATAACATTATTTGCTTACTCCAACTCTTCAACTTGTCCGCTTCTGAAATCATCTCTCCCAAAAGACGCACCATTTTCCAACCACCAACTTCCTACTCCACAAAAAATCATCGCGCCGCTCCTAGTAAATCCCAAATGACCGCCTCGTAGCAGAACGCAAATTGCCTCAAGTTCTGGACCATGCTCAATCTCTGTTCTCTAAACTTTTCAACGACGTAATTGATCACATCTTCTTGGATATCTTGCATATTCATGCTTCGTTTCAACATTTTCAGAACCGTATCAACCGTGCAAAACGCACCGGTTCGTCCGCATCCTGCAGAACAGTGTACGACCATAGGCCCGGTATTCCCAGACTCGAGCTGACACTCGTTGGCCATGTTGATAAGATGCAATAGCTGCAACGGGCTATCGGGGACACCGAAATCGGGCCATCCGAGAAAGTGTAGTTGAGTTATTATGCGAGGTGGAGCATTGGCATAGTCCGAATTTGATAGAGAAAACTTGCGTATTGTTATCGAAGCGCCAGAGTCACATAGAGATGTGTTTTCAGAAATGTTTAAAAGAGACAATTTGCCGAAATTGCAAGGCATCTTGGTGCAGTCGCTCCAATACCTGTGACATTTAATCTGTCGAGAGAGATGAAGGAGGATTGGAAAACGTTAACAAAAATTCCTTTTGTAAAAATGACTTTTCTCTCAACCGAAATGTTTATTTTTACTCACCCTTCCGGCTTCTTCTTCTTTGGTCAACATAACAATGACCGAACAGTTCTGCTCCCAGATAACTTTCCAAAAATCTCCGTATGTAGCTGGCATTGGCCCCTGCGTCGCAATGTATCTTGTGGTCGATTCGTCTGCTTGAACATAGCTCGCGTTGATATAGTCACATTCACCTTCTCTACATGCGCCGAGCTTGACTCTGGCATGGTCGTACGGCCAAATGTTACCGTAGCGGTTTTTCGTACCCTTTTCTATACCCGCAGATATCGAATATGCAAAGTCTGATGTTGGTTTGTTGGCATTCTGAAGCATCAGTGATTGAAGTCTACGTTGTTCCGTTCGTTCAATTTCCTGTATATACACAAGTATGCTATTTAGTCGACCGAGCCCAAATTTATTGTACCGTTTCATAATAATACTTACATAAAACGCCTCGGCTAGCCTATCTTTCCCACAATTTTCCGAACAAATATCCCTCAAAAAGGCTGGTAACTGAGATGCGTGGATTGGTATTCCTTCCGGAAATCTTACAGGGACTGTTTCTGTAATTCCTCCAATCAGCTCGTAGTTCTGCCTTATGTTAGAGAAGAATGGATTCACGCCATTCATTTCAATAACAGGGGTTGGACAGGTGAATGTTCCTGGCTTTCGCATGAGTGCTGGTGCAGAAAACGTGCGACGTGGAAACGTAGACGGTCTAGTACTAGATTCAGTGCGTTCGCAGAGATCGGTGTATTTTGAGCTGAATGCCATAAAACCACCTGAGGGGTGAAATGAGATTTATAAATAGTCGCGGGTTAATTAATAGAATGCAAATTATCAATAGTCATTTTAACAATTCTACTATACACTACTATACTAATTACATCAACGCTAGTGGTGACGTCGATCACTATGTCGTCTATATCTGTTGTGGCTTTAACGGCATATACTGTACATGTACTAGTTACATAATGAAGATTCTAAAACAGGCGAAGAAGAATTGCTAAGGTATTGTCGTGGCAAAATAACGTCATAATGCAGTTGTACGAATAAAGGCAGAAGAATACAAGAGGGAGAGAGAACTGCACTAAAAAGATTTTGAACAAAAAAGTAAAGCGCGGGTAATGGCGGACTATATATGCTTCAAAATATACACGGACAATATAATACAAAAATAAAATATACAATTAATTTCTTGTTTTGTAAAACTCACCTTTCAACCATCCAATATTTGCTTTGCAACCAGACATTTTGAATTTTTTACACAGATGGGTCAAGGAACTACCCTCTTGCAGGTCTTCTGTGTTACTGTCGTATAAGACGATATTCTCGAATTTCTCCCATTCACCAAAGACTTGCTTGTCATATTCACTGACCAGCATGTCGCACACCTTATCGAGAGTGAAAGAGCCTCGACGGAGCAGAGTCGAAGGGACACAAATGTTGACAGCCATGCGGATATGGTTTTCAGCAAATTGAGAAAATGCTCGAAGGTCGAGCAGAAGAATGACGGAACCGGCTAGCGAAGATTCGTTCGATGTCTGCAATCTGATCATTTCGGCCAAATTGCCGACCGAAACGATGTGAAACGACTGAGCGGGCGGTGCAGCAGAAGTCAGAGCTTGCAACGAAGGCCGAACAGAAGGCTTGTTGGGTTGTCTGAGCAACTTGGATCGGGGGAGTGACGAATGAATAGACGCCGTCTTTAACCATTCGAGGGTGTTGTTTGACGAGTAAAAGGACATACATAGTGGAGATTGGGATTCGCCGTTTGTGGTTATTTGTGGTATAAGTGTATTATTAATATTACTACTGAAATTACTACTAACATTATTATTACTATTATTAATACTAGGACTGTTGTTGCTGCTGTTGTTGTTGCTATTGTTGTCGCTATAACTGTAACTGTTGCTATTGCTGTCGTTATCGCTGCTGCCGCTGATGCTGCCGCTAATAAAATTGTCAAAACAGTTTATCCTGTTGTTATGATTAACAGTTGAAACTCCGCCATTGATTCTTGCTTCAGATTTCTTCTTCAATTCCTCAAAATACGGAGTATCTACTGGTTCACAGTCAAAGTAGGGCGTCTCGGCAGGTTGACACTTTTGCACATCGAAATAAGGAGTTTTACCATCATTTTGTGGTTCCACGTCAAAATATCCTGCGCATGTCTTGTCATTGGATATATATGCCGAGGGCATGTGCAACGAAAAGTACGAAGATTGATCGGTCTTTAGTTCACAATTCGGAGAGTTGTATACGCCCACACTCATGATGCTGTTGAATCACTCAATTTGTGGTTTATGATCAAAGGAACGTCTGTGGTTGATAATAGGATGGCCAGCGTTATATAGGGTGAAGAGGGAGGAGAGTCGGTGACTTGACAATGGGGAATGTCTGGTGGTAGTAGTGTAAATGTATAGTAGTGTAATCACTATAGGTGAAAACTGCTCTTTTTTTTTCACTCTAGGTAAAATTGGAGGTATTTATGATTATTCAATAGTAACACGAATCAGAGATGACAGAGTATAAGGATAACAAGTAACGGTTGGGAGAGACTATTTATTACGGGATGAAGCAAGCAATCTGCCCGAATATATAAAACAAGTTGATTATACAAACATGTTTATTCGGATAGCGCAGAGTATTGTTAAATGATGTCATTTGTAAAATGAATCGGGGCACTACCTATTTGTACAGTGTAACTCTTGTGACATGAGTGAGGGGTAAGATAAAGTTGTTGACAAACAAGCGTTTTCATGTTTAATTGTCACATTTATATAGAGATGAGGGTGAGATGAATACAAGTTGAGAGTGAGGTGAGTTGAGAGTGGGGTGAGTTGAGAGTGTTGAGAGTGGGGCGAGTGCAGCAGGTGAGTGCAGCAGATGAGTGCGAGTTGCTATTTTTAATATCACATAACGACACATAACGACACATAGTAACTATTATTTATTTTATTAATTTTATTATTTATTTATTATGATAAGTATACTTGTACAATAAATATATTTATTCGTACTAAATTATCCAGTCAGTAAATAATAATAATAATATAAATTTTCCATGCTTGTGTGCTTCTTTGTTGCACTTGGTTCCTTTGGCTGAAAATTTACCGCTGTATTTATATCTTGCTTTCAGACAACGAATGAAACTCCGAATGACGGTGGTTTACGGAGTAGAGTGACGTAATTAGTGTTTACTAATGTGATTTGTTTAATATCTACGCAGGGACAGTGACTATAGATACTCTCACGTGGAACAAAATGTGATTGTCGATAAGATTAGTAATATCGTGACAAATTGAGCGGCAACTTGTAATGCATTAGTAATGTGTAACTAGGAAGTATTAGGCTTAACTTAGACAATTTTGCCCTAACCCCCTGCGAGCCATGATGGGAGGCAACAAATTAATATTAAAGCAAAACAATCATGCGTCTTTTTTTTTCTTTTTTTTTTCCTCCGTGGATCACTGTGATGTCATTGCTTTACCTTGAACAGTCATTCCAAGTGGCTATTAGTACAATATTGTATAGATTGCTCTATGGCGCCGATTACTAGCATAGCGAAATAATGTAATAAAACAGCCCAAACGCTCAGATCACCGAGATAACGATAATTAATTATTGTGATTCAGAAAATAATTTTTCCCGATCAGTAAAAAACGGGGAAATCCGGCCGTAGTGACGTAACAAATTACTGGCCCTCTCAAAGAGTCAAAGTCATCATGCAATCAATCACAAAGTAACATTGCAAAACGGTGTGGTGTAACATTTATCAACACCAATAATCCCGATAGTCCTGATAAAAAAAACTGCTCTCATTTTATGGCACTATCTTATCTTGTTTGTTATACGACTTGCATCACCTTCCGACTCTTTCCTCGCTCCCCTTTATCTTTGGGAATACGGCGAACGGACAGGTTAATAGATTGATTGCGATTGACAGCAAACATGCTCCGAATTAATATACAGAGTTAGCTGCCTGTGTGTGTTTTTTATTTCTAATGTGATTATTGCGAGTGTATTGGTCGCTCAAAGACTGTTATAGGAAATTCTTAAACAATTGAAGGGATAGGAGGGATAGGGAAAGTACCCAGACCTTTTAAAAATGGAAAAGAGGAGAAGAATGGACAGAGCGTGAGAGATAAAAGTAAGGGTTGGAGAACAGAGACTAGCGTTGTAGTGTTGTAGTGTTGTTGCGTTGTAGTGTGCGGTGTTGCTATGTGTACGTATTAATCAGTATTCGTAATGTGTGCGCACACATGGAGATGGAAAATTTTAATGATTTGCCCGATGATTGTATTACAGTTGTATGTTATTGTAAATACCGCCGGATATGTGAGATTTACAAGATCATACGCCGCATACATATTCATGTCAGCCGAATATACGGTAGGTATTCCAAGTCATGCAATAATAAATTATGACATTACCAAAAGTGTAAACCCCATTGATGTTTGTGTTTATCAAAATAGTAACCATGCCTCTCGAAATAGAAATTGCACAGTGTCTAATATTATTACATCATTACGTTAGCGTCAATGACATCATAGGATACACACATACAGCCCCTTTCGACAATATCCCTTTTGAAAAGTTCGACGTTGGGAAAAATTTCAGAAATTGTCATTACTATTATAATTATAATTATACTTATACTTGTTAATGGCGGCGCTTTCTCAATCATATGTGATATGAGCTATGTGTGTGTATGTGATATATAGCGATATACGTTATCTGTGTATTGTCTTATTGTCTTATATGTGTACTAATAATATATATGTGTTATGTTTGTTGTTATACGTCAATAAACATAATATGTCTCGGACAGAGACTAACACATGTTGTTGCAATCATGAAAACAAATCGCAAAATTGGGATACGATTCAAAACGAACATGGTTTTCGCTCTATTCCAAATCAATACATTGTCCACGCTACACCATCTTGGTAGTTCTTATTTTCTTCTAATCCGTTCGTTCGTTTTTCGTATGGACACTCAATTCGGAAAACGTGGTAAGTGCATCTCAGTCCAATAACGGTAACATTCATGTATGTTGAAGATGATATGAAGAGAGGGAAAAAATCCAAAGCCGATAAACATATGTACTCACATGACCCATTAATTTATACAATTCAATTACAACGCCCCACCCGACACAATTTGTTCTAATATGTATGCTGTATAATTGTCTCAATTTCACCCCCTCCCCACTGTGTTGAGGTTACCCGATCCGTTGTATATGTATTGGGAGGAGAAAGAAGGGGGGTTGACTATTGTCGACTAAATAAATCATGAAACAAACAGTTTTTTTTTGCATTACTATTATTCGAACGGGTCTCTTGGTAATTTGAATTGGGGGAAAGGTCTGTCGACTATCCACTCCTTTTCTCCCTCATACTTAGGATCTAGCACAGATTCGGCGAAAAACGACTGCTTTCTTTGGATAAACCAAAAGAATATGGAAAGGAATTCGAAGCAAGCATATGACTCTTGCATACATTATACATATTTTTAAGATAAAATTTTTAAAATATTAAAATACATTGTGATAAAAATCACCTGGGTTATCTCTCTCCAAAAAATCACATAGTTATACTAACGATACTCCAGTATTTGGTTTGATTGGATTTGTGTCATAAAGTCGTAATCACAAATAGATGGCTTAGAACCGGTGAGACAAAAAGTCAATTCATTACATAGCATACATACTTTATAGTTAATAAAAACATTTCCTATTCTATTTTATCCATCTCAAATTTATTTACATTGGATGGGCGTACCATATTCAAATATTTTTCCTTCTTCCCCGATACGTCCCGTACGACGTTCACAAGGAATCTATAAAGCGCTAAAGTTTTGGGACTGGAAAAACTTCCAAATTTACTTTAGATATAAATAATGAGTAATAATAATGAAACGATATGACAAGAAACAACAACAAGGACAACACAACAACAACAACAGCATAACAAAACAACAACAACAACAACAACAACAACAACGACAAACGCCGACATTTTATTCGTTAACTTTATCCCAAACTTTTATATACGAATATTACATAACATGTATTTGTGTGTGCATTGTCCCATTTTGTTGTTGCCCATTGGATAGATTATTGCTGACCTATTTGTTCCTTGCCTTGTTTAATATATGACCTACTTGCCCATTGTACCTTCTCCGTCCACCGACAGTCAGGAGAAACATACATGTGGAGAAAATCAACAACCAAAAAAAAGGCGCACGAGTTACAAATATGTTAAAACTCACTAACTCAGTAGCTCACCAACTCGGCAACTCACTAACCCACTCACTCCCTCGTTCCTTCCCCATAATGACATTTTCCCACATTTGTTCAAACATCAGACATATGACAATAGAACAAGGTGGGGCAGAACAGTGGAGAAGAAAAAACTAAATGCTAATCAGTCATATTACAAGCTTGTGCTTTTTCCATTCTCAATTTCATAGAATGACGTATTTTCATCTGATGATATATCAATATGGAGCACGCAAAAACAAACACATAACGCCATGATCAAATTTCAGGGGTCCAACTCATTTATTATTGGTCAAGTGACCTATGACCCATCTCTAAGTCACCATTTTCGGACATACGCGCGTCACGTATTCTTATTCTGTATTAGCAACATAACGAAAGAATAACAATAACAATAACTATAACTATATATACATGTATTCTAAATGAATAAGCAGTTGACTCTAACGTGTTTTGGGAAAAAGAGCTTACAAGGTGAGTAATAGTGCATATACGTACGTACGTGCGTGCGTGCTACAGTGATAAGCTTTTTTTCTCGAGTATTCTGCACATCAGCCCTTCCCCCCACAAACATCAAGTTCACACGCTGCGCAAAAATATTGCGCTTTTCAAAAATTGTTACAAATTCTCTTTGAGTTGTTACAAAGTCATTTTGAATAAGATTCAGTTAGCATTAGAGCACCTTTGCTGTTATAAGTAGAGCGCACAAATTACATTTTGCAATTCAATACAGTAATAGGTATGGTTAGTATGTGAAATGGTAATTTAGTGAAAGTATAAGTAGTGTATCTTGTATTAACAAAACATACTCTAATAAATATGTCGTATTTAGTTCACGGCTAGTATTGACTTGGAGTATAGTTAACATTTGCGGCAGGATTTTTTCATGATAAAAAATTTCAATGGTTGTATAACAAGGTTAAAGGGTCCAGTACTGTATAAAAAGGTAATTTGTTAAATTGATGTCTTGGGCCGTGATTATCTCACATGAAATAATATAATTTGTTAAGCTAATATGCTGAAAAAGTATTGTGTATGAATATGTTACTACTTACAAGGCTCATGTGTTTGCTTACAAGGGAAACTTAAAACGGGAAATGAGCAGATTGAACTTGGAGAGTGAGCTCAGTGTCTTTTTTGTTCTTGATTTCATTTTGTCAGTGAATTATTAGTCTATGCCGCGTATTCTTATTTCTATGCAATAAACTTTTTACTATCGAATCTCCATCATAGGTATTATTTGAGGCAGGCTGCAAAGTGAACATTTTATTATATGACATAAAGAGAGTCTGATGTGGTTAAAATATCAATTAAGTAGCTAATAACATTTTGGAAAGGTTTAACACAGCTGTGTGGCTCAGACATAAATTTGTAGAGCTTGTTATTATTTATACACTACCTGGACAAAAGTCTTGCACATTGAAAATTTTTAATATAATTATAATGTTGTTTTGGTTTTGAACAAACGCGTGTATAATTTTCGTGTTGTTTGTAAACATACATCAAAATATATAAATAAATCCGTAAGCGCTTCCCTTTATTGATCTTAAAATGTATCCCTTAAGTAAAAGTCAACGAGGTGAAATTATTGGCCTTTACAAAATTAAGCAATCAGTACCAAAAAATTAGTATAATGTTCAAAGTTCATAGAACAATTGTCTCTCGTACTATTGAGAAGTACCTTAACAGAGATAATCTTGTCCGAAATTATTGACTAACAGAAGTCAAAAAATTTTAAAGACTATTGTTAAAAAAAAAAATAAAAATAAAAAATCAGCTGAACATATTGCGGTTTTCAAAATGCTGTGATCCCCTGTCCACGGGACTAAAAAAAACGAAGGTACTATGTTTTAGAAGATTATTCGTGATTATAGAGGTGCAGTCAAATTCAGTTCTTCTAGCCAAGAAAGCACAACCGTTATCTGGCTTACGGAAACCTGACTGCCAAGTTACAGCTTCGGAAAGTACGAGATTACAAGGCGATTACAAAGCGATTACAGAACGATTACAGGCAATTACAGGTGATTATTATGTGATTACAGGCGATTACAAAATGATTACACGTATTGTTATTCCATAAATGCTGTCATATTGGTATGGGTCGTCCATTTAATGAAGATTTGAAATGGAGAATGGTCTACTTGCATCTGGATGGTTATAACAACGACGTATTAGTGAACTTCTAAAAAGCCAACTTCGGACTATTCAAGAGCAATTATCACGGCAAAAGCGAATATTTGTCCGCCTAGAAGTGCGGAGGCGGGTCGTGTCCTCCCGAAATGTAAATTAGGATACCGCCTGGGTTGTCCTGGCGTTTATCAGTGCGATAATTGTAAGGTAAATTACTCAGTAACTGCTGACACACGAAATGCAGATCTTTTTTCTCATATTAAAAGACCATTTTGTCTTCACTTCAATGACGAGAAGTGTCATCATTATGTCTTAACAACACAAAATCAGGTTTTGAGACTGTGGAGCCTGTCATAGAAAAAAACACAAAGGTTCCATGTTCTTGAGAATGTTTGCTTCAATGGGCATTTGGATAGCATATTCATCTTTGATATTTGTGTATGCTTGAAATATTGGTGGTGGGTAACTTTTAATAATGTCATTGCAGTGAGTGGCAGCAGCCAGAAAATCCACCCAGCCCTCAATCCTTAGTGCTGTGGCTTTTGGGGGCAAGAGACCATGTAACAGGTATTGGAATCTGACCAAGATAGCCTGTTTCTGTCAAAAAGGACTGTGAAAACAAAGAGTAAGCATAAAGTATAGAAAACCACTCTATCCTATGTACTCTACTATTACTATATGTCCCCAACACCTGAGTCACAAAGTCATTACCTAGAGTTTTCTCATGCCTGCCAGCATGATGACTACACAGACAAGTTATCTTATTCAAGTCAGCTGGAGCAAATTCTCCACAAGTACAGCCAGCTTTGAGGCATCTTTTCACACTGGGTTCTGTCACAGTCTTTCATTTTTCAAACAAACAAAAAAATGATTCTCTTGCACAACAAATGGCACTTAACCAATGATGTGTTATTAGGAACTTTCTGACAAATGCATTAGTATCAGATTTTGCTGCCTACTTGTATGTTTAGTTTTTAATGCAAAGTAAGGGGTGGTTAATTTTTATGATTACCCCGTGATTCTGGTTTCAATAAAAAGGATAACAATCATTTCGTGAAGAGTGTACGTGTGCGTGTATGCTCCAACGTACTAATACAAAACCAGGTAAATTAGAATACGCCATAAAGATATCCCTGTTATTGACAATACCAAATAACTATATAGTATAGTCACATATGCGCCCAAAGTAACGGCATACTAAATTTTGCCGTAGAGCCTTATTGTCCTCATGTAACATAAATTCCGCCACTTATTATTATATAGTCATACCTCGTTTATATCCCCACTTTGGGACCCAGGATTTTTGGGATATATCTGAGGTGGGATACAACTGAGGTATAGCATTTCAATAGATAATATTGTGTTTAATTTTATTGGTTAATAAATTCCATAGTGACATTTGACGTTTTACTGCATTTATTTCTAGAATAATTTATATTCTAATTTATTATATTAATATAACCTAATTTTTATGGTCTAATTTTATTTATCGCCTGATTTTATGACCTGATTTTACGACTTATGGCCTGATTTTATGACCCGATTTTATTTATGGCCTGATTTTATGGCCTGATTTTATTGCGTCGTCGCCTGACCAAATGAAGCAAATGATCGACTTACCCCGCACAAATATATATATAGAAATGGCAAGATTTTTGTGTATCACCTAACGGGATATAAACGAGGTATATATCTGAATGGGATACAACAGAGGAATAGGGGATATGGGTGTATACAGCTTTGAAACGAAAACAGGACTGAATATATCTTTTTTTTTCTGAAAAATACAATCAATTAGCTTCAAAACGGTACCAAAATCATTGCGGGTTACATAGTACACATGGACAATAGAGATTTTCGAAAATAAAGGGTTTTCGTCTTGTACTTATAATTTGTCAGGTGTATGTCATATATCACATATGATAAGGGACTAGTGTTCCCAGCCAGCCATATGTCATATTCGGAACTAACTTGTATTGACATAATAATAAGCAAGCCCTAAGATAAAATCTAACGGGAAGCCTCGAGTATCGTCTCGCGCTAATGCACAGAGCTGGAGGAACGTGTCTTATAACTGATTATTATCAGTATACTAATCAACGAATGAATGAATAGTGTCAACGAACAGTAGCTTCAATCCGTAATGAATTAATAATTACGAGAGAAACGATAAGCATCGTTCTTGTTTGTTGCTTTAATAAATCGACACATTCGGGCATGTGCTGGCTGAATGAAACAAAGCGTCATTGCAAACATTCCCACACTGTTATTCAAACAATACGTCATCACCACGAACAGTACCCGCCTCAGTTGATATTAATTATCTGACATTTATGGTTATAAATAGTCTTTTCATTTGATAGCCAATCTTAGAAGCAATTCTACGGAAGTAAATCTAACGAAAATAATTCAATCTACTATTCAACGTATTGGGAAATGGTCTATAAGACGCTTATAATGTTGGCTGTAAAATTATTATGACAAATCCATAGCATCTACCCTCGTAGAATAATCCTTGTTTTCCAGCTCGGTAACCAGATTCTTGTACGTGTTGCTTAACTGACCATGTTTAACTTCCCGAGTCATGGCCTCGAATTTTGGTGCGTGTCCCGCTACGGATGAAATAAACGAAGGAATTAGTTTCAATATTGATTTCACAGTCATTATTTCCGTTACTTTACCTGTCTCGAGTAATGCGCTTAGATGAATGATAACTCTGAGAGCAGACCGTTGCAACTCATTGTTACGCTCCACTTCGGCTTTAACAGCATTTTCTTTGAGTTTAGTGTTTAATATAGTCTTTAGCGGATCTACTGTATCATCGAGTTCTATAATAGCATTGTTTGATAAAGCGCGTGAGAATACGGTGTTAATAGACGAGATATCAAACAAACAGAGAATCGGAGACCAACACATGATGCTTCTATTATACTTACTTTGCTTCACGGCTGTCGGAGCGATATTGGCCAAACGAATCAACATAGTGTGTGAGAGGAAAATAATATCGTGATGGTCTGTTAAACCCGCTAATACTCGATCCAGAAAACGGAAGATATCTAGTTTATCTAGACATGTCTCTAGCAATGTGTGCATACATTCATAGGCAGACTGCGGATACCAATGAAAATAAACATACAATCACATGGCGAAAACAACATATACTAACATCTATAAATGAATATGTACCTTTCGAATGTCCAAACCACCATCCACTTGATGTTGAAATGGGCCCATTTCAACAGTGCGAATTAGATCTGGGTTTACGTAAGTTTCGTTGTATAATAGAGGCAGTAATTGATTTAATACATCCCGGATTAAGTATGGTTTATTGTGAGCAGCGGAATTAAATGTGGATAACGACAGCCGACGGACGTTCTAAATAAAGAAACAACAGTCAATAGTATGCAAAAGAAACTTTTAATGAATATGCTATTTCCAATTTGAAACATTTACCAGGTCACTATCTCTTATTAGCAACAAGAATTCCATAATCAATGGTCGCAATAGTTCGTCGTAGTCTTGTCCCTCGTTGGCAAATGTGTATTTGATAGCAGTCACCACGGTACCGCGCGTCTCGGCTGAAGACGATTTAAGGCGTTTCTACAAAGTACGGTTCAATTGATTCGTTTGGTTAAGAACGGTCAATTGGACTATCGAAAAGTAAAAAAAGCAACCACACAATATACCTGTAGCTCGGGTAAGAATGTATTTGGATTTGCCATTGTTAATTTACCAACACATTCAGCAACAACATTTCTAGTGCCTTCTTCGACTCCTTCACCACTATCAAACAATATATTCCTAAGAAAAAAAAAAATAGACCCGTCAGTTGCGACTCGATATTAATACCATACAGCATATTTTCAAACATCGCGTACCAAATACTCTCAGCAAATGGACCCAAGTCCTTTATTCCCTCTTCATTAGAATATCGTGTAATTATCTAAGAAATCGACAAAAACAAAATGTAAGATAGTACCGCTATCTAATACGTCTTCCAGTTTATTACGAAACATAAGCAAATCGTGTACCTCTTTAAGGGCATGTAATAGTAAATACCGCTTTTTTGGATCATTTTTAATCTCGCTTATGACTATCGGCAAGTACTTGCGAACGTTGCCTACACTTATGTTACCAAGTGCAAAAGCAGCAGCGGATTTGACTTCTTCAGATGAAGCGGAAAATAATTGTAATACCGACTGGTGTATGTCTGTGTGTGAGCTCAGATCTCTGTTGAGAATCAACAAAATAATAGTGAGAAAAAGAAAGCGTAGGGCGTGGGGCAAGACGCAAATATAATGCCATGTATCCTCAAGTAATACTCACACGCGGCGACCAATCTCTCCAAGTGTGAGCAAAGAAAGATATGTAATCGATTCCGGAGTTTCCTGAATCTAATATACGATGTATTATCAATAAGACATTCTCAAAAATCTTTAAAATAGTTTTATCAGCGCACTGACCTGAATCTTCTCTATGAAATCGTTTACGGTATCATCAGCTATATCAGGTGAAGATTCAACACAAAGAACAGTTATACATTGTGCGATGGTAGAATAAGCCTGCTTTGACAGAGCTAGCTGGTTCGGTAATGACAACTCAACAGGTTCCCTCAGTTTAGCCAGGAGCACGTCAAATCGCTCCTCGTCGGTCTTGATCAATGTCGCAAACAACTTCAGTAAACTGTGCAGCGCAGCACCTTGGACAAGGGTAGATTGGACAAGTTGAAAGACAGCAGGAAGACAGTATTGATCCACTTCTCTTGCTGTACTAGGATCAGCGTTTAGAATGGCAACTATAGTGTTGAGAGCCAATGGAAGGAGATGAAGATCCTGATCAGAGATGTGAGGCGTAAGTTCCTTGAGAAGGAAATCGTAAACTTTACGATCCATGTCTGCGCCATAACTAAACAAAAAGAATTGAAAGTAAGTGCATATAAAGGGAACATCTCCAGGTGGCAAGCACCAATTTTTAACTCACCGCCTTACAAATACTTCAAGACAAATTAAACTGGCAACTTTCAACTGTCGGTGAGTTTTCCTCAACAATAGTCCAACTTCTCCTACAGCTTGTAACACAGCTGCTCGTACTTCAGATCCAAAGCATACAGAACTATCTGCAACACTGGTGAACGTCTTAACAGTGGTCAATCTAGTAACTTCATTCTTAAGAAAAGATAGTAACTTTGGCATCGCCTCAGATAATTGCTCCTGAAGATTATCGCCAGTCTGGGATAGCAAAGTGCCGAGGCACATAATCGCACGCTCTTTCACTTCTTGATCAGCATCTAATTTTGCAAGTCTTGCATTAGTTTCTTCATAGATATTTATAATGTATTTCTTAAAATGAGGGTTCAGTTCCGGGATATTGGATTGATCGAGCCCGATCGGACGAATAACCTTCACCAGCTCAATACACACAATAAGTGCTTCGGACGTAATCTTATAAAACTTGTCAGATACTGATGCAGTAATTGGTGGTGACAGTCTATCAAGATGTTGGTGGAGTACATGTGGAGCGTGTACTCTGAGCAATTGGCGCAGAAAGCTTAATGTCTCGATCTTGAGGTTTGAATTAGTGTTACTATGATGATTTGCGTCGAGTGATGTGGTAAGCGCATTCTCAATGACTGGAATAAAGAGATTAATATGCTGTTCAAGACCACCGTTCAACACCGTGACTAGTTCACGAAGAAGTACAAAGCCCATTTGTTTTGTTGGGATGGATTTGGTTGTTTGGAGTTGTTTGGATAGAATTCGGCTAAGTTTGGGAATCAAGCCTCTAAGAAGTTGTTTCGGGCTATTCAATAGTCGGACAAAATGTGTCAGTAAACTATGACTTTAGACGAGATAACTAGCAGCTATTACCAGACTTATCTGGCCTTACCTTTCTTCAGTATCCATCTCAGCTGATGCCTTTCGTCGCTTAGCTTCCCTTTCCCCTTCTCGGGAAACGTACGAGTCGCCACCATATACAAATGTCTGTCTCAATAAGATTATGAACGTGTGTAATACGTCTACTCTGACAGATTCTTCTCGTTCATTAAACCTGCTAACGAGTGCGGGTGCCACCTCCAAGTATAGTTTGACTAGTATTTCATGGCGAGTTCCGATGATTGCTGCAAGTAGTTTAGAGGAAGATCTTCGCACTTTCCATGACATGTCATCATCGTCTGAATAGTCTCTGTAGAATCATATTCATTATATTAGCAGTATACTTCAACGTATGGTCTTATAATCAATTAGTTTTTCATAAAGTGAACAAACCCTTCGTCATCTTCTTCCTCTTCCTCATTCATATCAACATCTTCACCTGCATCTTCATCATATTCATCTTCGTCTACAGCATAGTTAGGATCGTATCTAAGGTATTCGAGACACAGCAGAATGACTTGATCTATATACTGCGTGACTTCTGTTGGGCATCGTAAGACGAACGTCTCTAAAGCCTAAGGCGACAAATCATCGTTCAATAACACTTAACAAGTACTGCTTGTGATAATTGTGATAAATGAAATCAACCTGCAAACAAATTTCTCGCAACTCATCATCATCGACTGAGGAAGTTCGAAGCACGTGGGGCACAAACTCGGGCAAATATTTCCCTAACCTTGGTGCACTCGATCGACTTTGATAGAGTTTGACAGTCAACAATGTGATATTGACAACTAAAGTGACTCGAAAAGAGACTCATGAATAAGACTATACCTCAAGGTTCCCACACATTGAATGAGAGTCTTTAATCTTTCGTGTTGCTTATCAGCCATATTGAATTCCATTAATATTTGAGTAATCAATTCGTTGAATAGCTCATCTGATATGTGTACCACAAGGTGGCCTAGTAGATAGAATTAGAAGAGAAATGATAAAAAGTCAGAATCCTCGATATTACACGTGACGAATATACGTGTGTTGCATATGTTGGATATAAACGCATGTATATATTCTACAATAATACATATATTACGGGGACCGATATTACTCAAAGTCTCCTCCCGCATATAATTGTCCACATTTGCTGTACATACCCATGGCTATTGTTACTTTCTTTCTAAATGCCGGTCTAGAATGTTGCAATTGCGTCAACAAGATCTTCTGAATTCGTTTCTGGAACTTGGCAACAGATAGACCAAATCTCGACAAGATCTCGCTTAGAATATCGAGGGTATCTGTTAACACTTCGTACGGCGTATCCGGCTGATGTGGCATGGAGGATGTAATAATCAGTACGCGTCGCTAAGGAATTATTATTAATGAAAATGCACGCGTAGTTATAACAGTAACATACATTTTCAAGCTGTTGAATAAGGCGGGGGACTAGCCGACTCAGAATGTTGTTAACCAAGTTGGGATTGTTCGGCAATTCGATCATTACAGTTTTTAATCCTAGATGCACAAATAGAGATTTAGCAAGAAGAATGTGATAAAGATTTTGTGTAATGACAATCAGATCGAAGCCTAAATACCTATTCCAGCGATATCCCGTAATTCATCTTTTTTCTGAGTAGTGTAATCACACAGCCTGTCAACGATTTCTTGCAGTTGTGGTTCATGCACCTTTTTCACGAGAGGCGCAAGACTGCCAATTTATTTCGGAAATAACGAATCACGTGGTGAAATCGGGATTCAGTTATGTATGGAGACGAATTCAATCAATCTAATCTGGTAAAAACAAACCATTTGACGGCCAGGTTTTGAACTTCTCCATTAGCGTCGTTCATAAGAATAAGAATTTTAGCAACAACTTTTCTCTCCAGGGGTTCGTCTATAGTAAAAACGTCCTTTTGCAGTTCATTCATAAGATCATTGGTAGCCATATATCGAAAGTCCGTGTCACTAGAGTCCATCTATTATTCGTTTTGGAAAAATCTTGGGTGTAAGACGACGCTTGTCATATAACAGCGTGAAGCGAAACGATTTTTGAAAAGATTCCATGCGCAAGGAGGCAAACCTTCTCTAGCAACTGGTTTACTGCGTAGGCTGTATTGGTCATTTTTTCTTTTGTATGTGAGATAAGGGCTGTTGCTCTGATTCGTTGTCCGTTGAGGAACAGGGGAGAAGCGCCGGGACCCAAATTCGAGAAACTGGTGAATTTGCCTATATTGCATTTTTTTACTACGCCCATTTCGGTAGTCACGAGATAAATTCCGGTAGAATTGATTGGGACTACAAGATATTCGGTCATACCATTTTGTAGATGGGATGATAAACAAAAGAAAGCAGACTGTTTTCGGTTCAAAATCAGCTCATACTTTCTGTATTGAGAATATATATATAATACCTATACTTTGTTGGAAACAACCATCATAGTTCCGTATCACGTGACAATTTGTTGCGCTGGTCGCTGTTAATATTAATATTAATATTAACCCTAACTGATATTATTATCATCTGATCAGTGTTGTTGTACACTATAATGCATTATGTACACTACCTATCGGGTCGATCAATAAATTTATATTTATTATAAATATTTAATATTTAGTTGACATCCTTGGTTTTTAATACATGCTTCAATCCGATGTGGCATACTTTCAATTAATTTTTTCAAGTTCATGCCACAAATGTTCAATAGGCATCAAGGTCCGGAGATTGAGAAGGCCAATCTGGGAGAATCTTAATCTTTTTCTGCGTAATCCAATTTTAACATCTTTTGCAGTATGAATCGTCTTGAAATGCATAAGGTTGTTTACAATGTTTCTAAAATATTAATATAATCCAATCTATTCATTTTACCATCTACTGTACGCGTCATAATACAAAGCAAATAAATACAGAATCAGGACATTCAATATAAGCTAATTGATATATCCGATCTTGAGAAATCTTGACCGGATACTTTTGATAGGGTAGTGTAAGTTCACAAAGGTACTGCGCTTTAGTATTGTGGACTGTCTGTTAATGGTAATACTAATAGACAATCTGTAAAAGAGTCTAAAGACCGTTTATCCTTGAGTTGTCTTGGTGTAAAGCAAATTTAAAAAAACTCACGCAACATTTACTTGTCACAGTAACATTTAAAGTGTTCATCTTAATAACAAGTTGATAATAACGTAGTGAAATGACCTTAAAATGAAGTCTGAAAATGGAGAGTAACTGTATTGAGATCAAAATTTCATTAAATTCTTTTTCAAATACGCATTACTCTCTATATACATTAAGGGATAAGCGTAACCAATTTTATGTCATTGCCAAAATGCATTGTTCTTTTTTCTTATCCTATTAGTTGAATTATGACTTCTTCGTTTAACAACATTATTTATTATTATTAACAAGAAATACACTGTAAGCGTTGCATGACAAACAAACCTACAGCACCACAGACATTTAGATGGTGCAACATTTATGAGCTTTTGATTAGAATTAAAGTATCGGATAAAGTTGTTAAGATTTTACTATCGCAAAGGAAGTATTAGATGTCAGGATAATCAAAACGACATTCGAGAAATAATGACCCAAGAAAATTGAATAGATATTCATCCAGACTTCACTCCTTGTTTGCAAGAATTATGAGAAAGAAAAGATCGGGAGAAAATAGTTATTGAATAGATTTACTCATTTGCGATATTTAATTCAATAGTTTTAATTTTTATTTTACAATGACTTAATTGCTGAACTAAGAAAGAGTACAAAAGTTCGACATGACGCAAGCAAAATGTTAATAACTCTTCCCTGAATCTTAGAATGAATACATAGAGTCGGGAATATTCGTCTAGACATGTGGTTATCGTGGCGAGTCATATGCGTAGTGGCTAATGCAATTATGACTATTATGATTCGTATAATCGTTAGTTAATCACACGATTAAATTATTCAGTAATTGACAAAAATATAAATAAAATAATCAGTTAGTGTGCAGTGTAACACAATAAAGTTATTCAAACCATGTCGTTAGTCAAGGATATACATAATCCAGCAATTGACAACTTGGTCTCGATATGGATACTGCTCCGCATGTGGAATACTCCGATGTAGTCCCGTGTGGTGCGTTTGTGGACGTAAAGAATTATCCAATGGATGGA